ATAAACAGTTTTTTTATCTTTATGTAGTAGTGAGCGAATATTCGATTTTACGAATTATTCGAAACGAATAGTATTTGAAAAATTTGAATTATTCGTATATTTGAAAAATAAGATTTTTTAATAATAAAATTTATTTAAATCAATTATTAAAAAAAATTAAATTTTACTGTAGTATTTTGTATCCTTAAAATATCCTCTCTATCGTGTTGCATGGTTGTCCGCCATTTAAGGAACATCCAGTATACGTGTTTGTAACATTTCATAATTATTATTATTATAAAAAAATAACCAAACTTATTTTTTAACCATTAAATTTTTTGTAGAAATATTAAACGTGCTATTTTAATATATATGATCTTTTCTATTACCTACAACTTTAATCATCATTACAGAAAAAATACTAAAGATGCCTTTCTAAAATTATGTGTATAGGTACAATTAGACTTAGTATACTACTTTACCTTGTAGTATGGTTTAGCACCTATGCAAGAGAGGTCGCTCTAAGTATGAATTCTCACCATGTAAATAGATTTATGTGGTATGTATAAATTAATTTACTATGAAATTACTATACTTTTTTCTTTTTACATAAACCTTTCAATACCCGTTATTTTTAAATCCGGCTATGTATAACGAATATAAAATGGTTTATGTAAAAATAAAATAAGGTCGATAATTTGAAAACAAAAGCACAAATGAAAAAAATATTAAAAAAAGTGTTAGCCTTAATGAGATCTACAAAATCTTTTAGGTTGTGCTTTTTAAGTAGAAAATATGGAATACCATAAGCTTCGCTTGTGCCTAATTAAAACTCGTGACTAAATTGCCGTTTATAAAAATTAATTTAGCGTGGGATGACTTTTATCATTCTAATTGACTAATGCGGTATTTTAGGAAGATGATACTACCTTTTTTAACACCAAAAACGTGTTTTACTACATACATATTTATTTACTTTTAATTGTCATTTTGTAGGCGTTTATTGCCAATTGAAAAATATCCATTTTAAATAAAGGTGTTAAATTGTGGCTTAAATGAATTTTAATGTAATTGTAAAAACCTGTCATTCCAGACACCATTATGATTAATGTAAATAAATGGATATAGTTTTTTGCGTAGGAAAATTAAATAAAGCATAAATGCATAGCCGACTACATAAAAAAATAACATTGAAAAGTTGCTTCCAATAGTGTTTGGTAATTATTCCCAAACTTTTATTATTCAATACCACATATTTATTAATATATTATGAACACTTTTAATATATGTAACTTAAAATTAATATTGTTATGTATTTTTAATTAGAAAGGCAATAAATTGTAAACTTTATTATGACATGTTCCCGAGCATGTTCCTTTAAAATAAAACATCATTCCTTAATATTTAGGATTCATTACTTTTAACAATCATGTTATTTTAAGTGACAATACGTACTAAATTTAAAAATTCACTTTTTTCTGTATTATTACTATATTTACTAGTTTTGTTGAACAATGAATAATAAAAAGTGAATAAATTAACTCAAGTAATATTAATTTATTTTATTGTTTACGAAATATAAACAAAGCCTCGTAAATTTTAGTCAAAAATACGAAATTAAAAATTTCATACAATTAAAACTGATTAAAAAAAATGACATTTTAATGATATAAGAAAAAAATCATAATTCGCTAATAAATACATATGCAACAATAACATATTTTTGTAAAAAATTTTACGCTCTACAAAAAAGGTATTTTTTCTACCCCCACCTTTAAAACGCCCATTATCGTACATGTGTCCATGACACAAAGTGATCTTTTAAATTTTAAATACACATTGACAACCTACGGCTTTAGTCAAGGGCTGAAGTTATCAACATGTTTTAGTCACGGGCTAAAAACTGTACTCAATTTCGATTTATTATTGCTTATATCATTGATCAAAAAACTCTTATATGCTTATATAGTTACGTTAGTGTGTGTATTTTGTCTAAGTGATCATGGTGAATATTGTGTATATCCATGAATTCATGGCAATATAATATTATATATAATACATAATATAATACCCGTTTTTGGTATATTACCGTTGTGGAGACTTTCTCAATCAACGTTTTTAATAATGCATAATGCTGTTTAGACGACTTATTTGTTTTATGATTTTTACTGAATTGAAATTTTCACGTAAATTATTACTAAAATAAGTAATTCGCGTGTAACGCATTTGAGAACAGTTTTTTGCAGTTTTGTTCCATGCATTTCATTTAAATTTTAATTTAAAAAACATTGAATGCCCATTTTTTTTGCATTCAAAACCTTAAGTTATTTTCAAATTTCTTGTAGGATACAAATACAAATTTTTATCTTTAAAACAGTAAAGAGGTTATGTTCTAAAAACATACATTTTTCCCCTGAGTCACACGTCTCCTGGATCACATATTGTGGGACCTCCACCTTTTTAATAGTAATTTTCCTAGTCAATGTATTTTGCCTCAATTGATCAAAGTAGCTGGAAATTTTTTTTGGGTAGTTCAACGAGACAATATTTATATTGACTTTTTATTATTATTTTATTAATAACTAAAACTTTTTATTCATTTATTGATCGTTAAATTGGACAAGCTGGGCCCAGATAAAAAATCGAGAAAAAACGTTTTTAAGAAAATTTCTTAAACTCACTTTTTTTTAATGGACATTTTTTAAATACAGAAAATATATTAAATATACTTATGTATGTAAGAAATAAAAAATCGAGAAAAAACGTTTTTAAGACAATTTCTTAAACTCACTTTTTTAAATGGACATTTTTTAAATACAGAAAATATATTAAATATACTTATGTATGTAAGAAATTTTCTTTTTATAAATAATAAATTTATGTTCTTTTTAAACAAATCCTATGAAAATAAAACCTTAAAATTATAATTACCAATCAAAAAAAATTATTTTCAAATTGATTAAGCATTTTTATATATATATATACATATATATATATATATATATATATATATATATATATAATAATAATAATAATAATAATAATACTGTTTATTTCCATATAAAAAATTTACATTTTGTTGGATAATGTCAATTATAAATAGTAGTATATAAATTACAAATAATAGTTTTTACATTTACAATTAATATGATACAGACATGTAATTGTGATAAAAACATATGATAATTATACAAACATATGATAGTGATACAGACATATTATACATTAAAGTCAAAATTGAAGTATTCTTGCACACCGAAAAATGGGTGCTGAGTAAAAAAATATTTTACCTCTTTTTTAAAAAGTTTGAGTGTGAGGTTTTTTGTGGCAGCTGGTAATTTATTGTAGATCTTGAGAGCTCGAAAGTGGGTAGATTTTTCATAGGTGGTTGTATTGTGCATCGGTATACTGATCAAGTGTCCGTATCTAGTTGGTCTAGATCTGTTGTATGCACAGTTTGGAGAAAAGTATTCTTGATGCATTTTTGCAAACATAACTATATTGTACAGGTACAGAGAGTATATGGTCATTATGTTTAGTTTAATGAATATAGGTGCAGTGTGGTCTTGATAGCCCGATCCGTTTAGAACGCGAATAAGTTTTTTTTGTGCTAAAAGGATTCTTTGCATATTGCCAGAGCCCCAGATTACCAGTCCGTAATTTAAATAGCTTTGAACATAGGCGAAGTAGAACATTTTTAATAGGTTTAAGGAAATTTTATCCCTGAGTATTCTGATTGCATAAGTAGCACTACTTAGCTTTTTAGTTATAAAATCTTCATGGAGGGTACACTGTAATGTAGGATCAATATTAACACCAAGAAATTTGGTATTTGTTACTACAGCAATGCTTTCATTTTTTGAATGCACCCAAATGCTTGAATTTTGTTGGGGGTGGTATGGGTTTCTAAATTGGATAATTGCAGTTTTTTTTTGGTTTAGTATTAAATTATTTTCTTGACACCACTCTGACATTAGTTTTAGTACTTTGTTGGCGTTTCGACTTAGTTTGACTAAACTTTCGGCCGACAAAACGACCGATGTATCGTCGGCGAACTGACAAACCTGGGAACCACTTACTTCGTCTAGCTTTGACCAGAGGTCATTACAGAATATTAGAAAAAGCAGCGGCGACAGTACTCCTCCTTGAGGAACGCCGTATTCGCAAGGAACTGTTTTTGATTTTTTCCCGTTTATGTCTACGTATTGGACTCTATTTTTTAGATACGACTCAATCCATTGTTTGGCACAACCGTTTATTCCGTATGCCTCTAGTTTTGCCAACAACCTGCCGTGAGTCACCAGGTCGAAAGCCTTAGTGAGGTCGAAATATATTCCGGCCACGCTAAGTCTGGCATCCAGTGCTTTGGTAATTGACGAGACCGCCTCATAGAGGGCGGTAGTTGTTGTTTTGTTTTTTCTGAAACCGTGTTGAGTCTCGGATAATAGAGAGAATTTTTCGAAATAGTCTATGAGCCTGCACGCCATTGCCTTCTCTAATATTCTTGAAAACACTGACTGGATGCTCACTGGTCGATAGTTCTCTACCTTATCATGCTCACCTTTCTTATGTATGGGTACGCATCTACTAATTTTTAGGGGGGAGGGAAAAACTCCGGATTCAAAAGAGACATTGATTAAGTGTGTTAAGGGTATAGCGATTGTATTTGTGACTTCTAAAAGGATATTCGCTGGAATTCCATCTGGACCCTTGGATGTTTTTTTTGCTGCTGATTTAATGAATATATATATATATATATATATATATATATATTATATATATTATAAGGTTTTTTGATTTGTTAGTACATTTTTTTTCTTTTTTCTTTAAAATTTTAACACCCCTCAATAAACAAAATTTGGAAAAAAACAGGTTTGTAGATTAAGTTTCTGTTATTACTTTTTTCTTCTTTAATTGTACAAGAATTTTAAAAATTACCTTATCTATAAAACTAATGTTGGATGAAAGTATATTTTCTTACTTTACTGTTTATTTCTTTATGTAGTACAAAGTCCTCTTACCTTTTATTTTCAGAATATTAATTCCTCCACACCTAAAAGCACGTAAACTTGAAAACCTCACTAAACACTGTCCACTCGTTACCATATAATCTTATCTTTTCGCGAATTCACCGAAGAACTTCTTCTTGTAAAATAAGCCGAAACCAATTGGGATAATACGGTACATACATATGCAACATATAGTCGCGCTACCTGTTTTATATAAAAAGTCGTTTTGGACGTGCATTGAAAAATTTTAAAGCTAAAAAAATCCAAACCGTTAATTTTACAGCTATCATTTAGAAATAGATGATAGCCTTTCGTCTTATAAACATTAATTTTTTAAACGACACATGGGACCGACTTTTAAATTAGAAAAAACACATGATTCAGTTTTTACATTTATTACATAATTTATAATTTTACTAACCTAAGTGCATATGCCAAAAAGTACAAATACAAAAATACGTAAAAATAACGATAAATTACTTCATTTCTTTTTTTTTGAAGCCTAAACGTTTATATTTGTTTGTTTGTTATATTTACCATTTAATAAAATAATAAATATAACTTATATTAACAAAACCAATTATATTAAGCATTAAAACTCAATATATGCCGTTTAACTTGAGTAAAAAATAAAATACCCTGTAAGTAATTTTCTTTCGTAAAAATTACGTTAAATAAATACTTCAGAGTTTTAAAATTTTAGGGTTATTAAAGAAAGTAAAAAATTCATAATTAAAACTACTAAACAATATTTTTTAATTAAGTTTAATTTACCTAAATATTGATTTAAGTTAAGTAATAATATTAAAATGCTGCTTGGGTAACTAAAGCATTTCTTGCCTTCTTTCTTTGCAGTCTCCTTGGTGCCGCGTGGATTCCATCGCCAACTTGGCCAAAGGACACTGACCTTGAAATTCGCGTTATGGGTGTCTTCAAGGATCGCCCTTTAATCAATCAATTTTTTCCTAAAAGTTTAAATATCAAATTACAGTCCTTTTGTTTTGTATTTATTTTGAATTATATTCATACTTGGATTAAAAAAATCTTAAACAAAGACTTTTTACTTTATTATTATATTCAACATGATTGCAAATGCCATGGCATTAAGAAGTAGATTATTTTTCGATACTTATTTTTAATTTTCCTTTCAACGACAAAAATGGTAGGTTTAATTGGGAAATTTCTACTTTAATTAGGAGAGACATAACAAGAATAATTTAATAGTAAATTAAAGAACTAATGTCATAACACGTCATTTTTTCATTTTGCAAAAATTCTATAAAAAAAATTAATTTTATTCCTTAAATTTAAATTGGTCGAATTTTACTTTAGACAGTCATTGGTTTGACAGTTAATGTCAAAATCGATTCGCCATGCCGTCCTTAATTTACTTATTTACAATAAGCGGCTGTTAATGTTAAAGAAGCAAAAAAGGATTTTCTTTGGTGCTAAACAAAATTTATTGTCAGAAAAGTCTCGTAAGTACTAGAAAAATCATAAAAATTTTATAACCAATATGCAAAATATTATGCTGTTTAAAGTATAGCCAACCTATGAAATCAAAATTTTGGGTGGGATAAAGTATCTCATTAGAGCACCGAAAGCGGTGTTATAATGAAGTCATTATGAACGCAAAATAGATAAAAAATATTATTGTAATTTTAATATTTTTTTATTTTACTTTTTTTTTTTACTTTTTTTACACATTGACAAGTTGTGGCTTCATGGCATTTTAGTCAGGGGCTGAAGTTAGCAACAGGTTTTTAGTCACAGGCTGAAGTTAGCTTTAAGTAAAATAATACTAAATGTAAAAATTATTGTATTATCTCAATACAAAAATTCAAAAGTATTAAATAGTTTCTCAACGCCAATATTTGAAAAGTTTATATGACCTTTTAATTTAGTCGACAGTAAACTAGATTTAACTTAATTTCGAATTTAAACGGTTCATTTTCGATTTACACATAAAAATTTGACATTCCCAAAAATGGTTACTCTATTGTTTTATAGATGTCGCTCTTTACAAATATTTAATTTAAATCATTTTTAGTTAATAATAAGTATTTGTCGTAGAAAAAAAAATAGTAAGCAACTCTTTTATAAACTTATCTAGACATTAATTTAATTAAGCATGCAAATTAGTACAATATTTTAATATATTTTTTTTTATTTTCCAGGTACTGTACCATTTAAAACGTCAACAATGTAAGTAATAAAAGTTTCCAAAAATAGCAAATATGTACCTAATTATTTTGTATGCAAATAACTTTTAATTACTCAAATTTAAGTGTAAACTTCAAAGTTATATAGGCACACTTAAAATTAAAAAGGTGTGCCGATTGATTTATTATCAATGGGGATGTTTGCGAGCGTTTAAAACACACTAAACTATAAATAATCAGCGTGAACTTATAAAGGTGTTTGAACCGATATTGTGAGTAAATATTTAGTTTTGCTCAAAGGAAATCCGTGTATATTTCTGTCTCATCCCAAGTGCAATAAAACGCAATGTATCATTGTTGTATATATTTAGACAGTGCCAGGAAAACACGAAGAATTTTTTTTTATTTTGGTGAATTTGCCACAAGGACGTTTTCTGGCTTTATCATAAAACATCAAAATATAAACCCCTTACTAGGAATGTAGGGGATCAAAATAATTTTTTTTCAAACAATGTTTTTTCTTACTTTTTTACCCTTCTGCCAAAGATTAAGATTTTTAAAATAATTTTTAACCTGAGGCCAAACCACTTTAAAAAAAATCCCAAAAAAGTGTGAAAAAATTATATTTTTGTGTTCAAACGAGGTTTTTTCTTACTTTTTGACTTTTATCAAGGTACTCCCAAAGTTTCATATTTTTGAATTAATTTAATTTTTAAAATAAAAATCGGAAAAATTTCTTAAAAGGTAAGAAAAAAACATAATTTTTATATCAAACAAGGTTTTTTCTTACCTATTTACCCTTCTGAAGGTACTTCCAAAGATTCAGATTTTTAATTAAATTTTAACCTGAGCCCCGACGACCAAAATCAAAAAAATTCCTTAAAAGGTAAGAAAAAAATATAACTCTTTTAACAAGGTTTTTTCTCACTTTTTTACCCTTCTGAAACTTTTGGAGTATACTCCCAAAGTTTCAGATTTTTAAATTAGTTTTTAACCTGTCACGAACCTTAAACAAAAATCCTAAAAAAGTGGAAAAAATTAATTTTTTTTGTTTATTGGAGGTTTAAATTAATTTTTTAAGCGCCGACCACTTAAAAAAATCCTTTTTTTGGTAAGAAAAAAACATATTGTTTTTCAAACAAGGTTTTTTATTACTTTTTTACCCTTCCAAAGGTACCTTCTCCCAAAGTTTCAGATTTTTAAATTAAATTTAACCTGAGCCCCGACCACTATAATTCCTTGAAAGTTAAAAAAACATAATTTTTTTAAACAAAGTTTTTTTTACTTTTTTACCTTTCAGAAGGTACTTCCAAAGATTTAGATTTTTAAATTAATTTTTAACCTGAACCCCGACTAATTTCTTAAAAGGTAAGAAAAAAACTAAATTTTTTTTCAAACAAGTTTTTTTCTTACTTTTAGATTTAGATTTTTAAATTAATTTTTAACCTGAACCCCGACTAATTTCTTAAAAGGTAAGAAAAAAACTAAATTTTTTTTCAAACAAGTTTTTTTCTTACTTTTTTACCCTTCCAAAGGTACCTTCTCTCAAAGTTTCAGATTTTTTAATTAAATTTAACCTGAGCCCCGACCACTATAAAAATTCCTTGAAAGTTAAAAAAAACATAATTTTTTTTAAACAAAGTTTTTTCTTACTTTTTACTCTTCAGAAGGTACTTAAAAAGATTCAGATTTTTAAATTAATTTTTAACCTGAGCCCCGACCACTTAAAAAAAAAAATCAAAAAAATTTCTTATAAGGTAAGAAAAAAACATAATTTTGTATATCAAACAAGGTTTTTTCTTACCTAATTACCCTTCTGAAGGTACTTCCAAAGATTCAGATTTTAAATTAAATTTTAACCTGAGCCCCGACGACCAAAATCAGAAAAATTCCTTAAAAGGTAAGAAAAAAATATAACTCTTTTAAACAAGTTAATTTCTCACTTTTTTACCCTTCTGAAACTTTGGGAGTATAGGTACTCCCAAAGTTTCAGATTTTTAAATTAATTCTTAACCTGTCACGACCATTTAAAAAAATCCTAAAAAAGTGGAAAAAATTATATTTTTTTGTTTATTGGAGGTTTAAATTAATTTTTTAAGCGCCCACCACTTAAAAAAATCATTTAAAGGTAAGAAAAAAACATATTGTTTTTCAAACAAAGTTTTTTATTACTTTTTTACCCTTCCAAAGGTACCTTCTCCCAAAGTTTCAGATTTTTAAATTAAATTTAACCTGAGCCCCGACCACTATAAAAATTCCTTGAAACGTAAAAAAACATAATTTTTTTAAACAAAGTTTTTTCTTACTTTTTTACCTTTCAGAAGTTACTTCCAAAGATTCAGATTTTTAAATTAATTTTTAACCTGAACCCCGACTAATTTCTTAAAAGGTAAGAAAAAAACTAATTTTTTTTTTCAAACAAGTTTTTTTCTTACTTTTTTACCCTTCTGAAAGTACTATTTTTTAGCCTTCTGAAGGTACTTCCAAAAACTCGATTTTTAAATTAATTTTAACCCGATCCTCGACCACTTAAAAAAAAAAATTAGAAAAATTCCTTAAATGGTAAGAAAAAAACATAATTTTTTTAAACAAAGTTTGTTCTTACTTTTTACTCTTCAGAAGGTACTTAAAAAGATTCAGATTTTTAAATTAATTTTTAACCTGAGCCCCGACCACTTTAAAAAAAATCAGAAAAATTTCTTAAAAGGTAAGAAAAAAACCTAATTTTCTTTTCAAACAAGTTTTTTTCTTACTTTTTTACCATTCTGAAAGTACTAGTACTAGTTTTAGATTTTTAAATTAATTTTCAACCACTTTAAAAAAAATCCTAAAAAAGTGGGAAAATAGTATATTAAAGAACTAATGTTATAAGACGTCATTTTGTCGCATGCGGACAATTTATAAATCGAGCGACGAAGAAGCGAGTTTTGTAATGGACGAGTGCGACAAAAGGTCTTATGACATTCTATAAAAAAATTAATTTTAAACTTTAAATTTAATTTG